GCGCAGCAGTTTTTCTAGCTTAGCGACCGCCAGCAGCAACAGCAGAAGTTAAGCCGAATAATTTGTTATGAAAACAACTGTAAAGAACGCACACACACTCCCACCAAGGCAAGGCCGAGCACCGGGAGAAAAATTAAAATAATCACAGCGAAAATTGCGACCCGATGAGCCCATGTTTTCTGTCCATTTCATCGGGTGATATGGGTAGGGTCATCCTCAAATATTTGTGCTTCAATTGGACTGGAATTTCAATAGTCGGACGGACAAATGTTGGTATTTGTTTTGCCCCAAAGTTCGAAGTACCAACTCTATTGGTTGTGTGTGCATGTGTGTTTGTGTCTTTGCCTATTTTGTTCTTCATGCAAACACGATTTTAAATGTGCTGTAATCGATCGGCTGCACATTGTAGCTCAATACTTTCTATGCTTCCATTTCCCTTTGAAATCCCAAAGTGTGTCACGCTTTGTGCGCTTAGCTCGTCCCTCAAATATTTGTGAACCCATGAAAACTTATTTACCTTGCTTGCTCTGTTCCCTCAAATACACACATACACACGAAAGGAAGGACATAAGGCTTGCTTGTTTACTTCTCTTACGAATTCGAAATAAAAATGAAGGCACAAAAAGTTATTTATATAACAATGCAAGTGTGATTATGCCATACGTGCTTTTAAATGCGAAATTCCACTTGAAGCATTTTAAGTTCTCAAACCTGGAAATTACATGCTTCTGGTGCTGGGTTTTTGTCAATGTAGCAATAAAATTGTCAGACTTAATAAGTATTTTGGAACTGTCAGCAACAGACCATGGGTTAACAAAAGAAGATAAGCGCTCGCACACACACACACACATACACATAATAATTACATGTTCGCACACAATTCAGTGCAAGAAAATGGAATGCCATTCATAAACGTACTTTTCGACCGACATACACATAATAAAGTGTTTGAATTCTATAACTGTAAATATACATTAATGCATAAATTTGCAACTTATATCAGCTGCAACAACATAGTCATGCATGCGCTCATTAAGCCAATTTCTGGCAGCACCTGTTGATATCAGGCGCTCCATAGTTAGTATTCATTTCTCATTCGCGCAGCATTCAGAGAGTTTACTCCGAAAATTTGTGGACGCTACTGTTGTACGCTTAAAAGACTGTTAAATAGCTATACATTACTGCTGTGCTCTCTCAGAGCAATTGCTATGCTTTTAACAGTTATCTACCTCTCAACTGATGTTGGTATGCATGCTTGCTTAAGATAAATATTTGAAAGCGTTCAGCAACATGCGATGTTTATTCCGATGTCGTGCACATGTTAGTAAATAACAGTACTGCATAAAATATGTTAACATATTATTAAACTTCGCTGAATTTAATAACAGAGTGAAACCGCTAAACTAACTAATTGAATCTGAAAATTGAGTCTTTCATTTCTTTTATTTTACTTCCAATACGTTTGGCAGTAATCATGTTTAATAGCTTTTGTTGTTGAAGCATAAAAGCAAAAACACATGACGATATTGAATATATTGAATTATACCACACATATACATATATACTTATATTATTAACTAATAAGCAGCTGGCGCTTTAAAGTTAACGTTACATTTATTATCATGTCACCAACATTTTTAGTAACAGCCATGTTGGAGCTACTCTGTAAGACTAACAGACAATTTTAACTGTGCGCTACACTGCTATTTGGACATTTGCGGTAATTCGTTTAATACAGTTATAACGAAGTTTCAGTTAACGTTGGCATTCAAACGTGCTCGGTTCGCGCGGCACTTAGTTGGCGGAAAGTTGTTAAGTTTTTAGCCGGCTAATTTAAGAAACAAAATAATTAGAAATAACAAACTGTTAATACCTGATAAACTTCATCTAGAAAGTAGCGTTTGTGGATTGTTAAACAAAAACATATATGTATCTATAACTTGTCGTTCAAAGTGAGTAGCGCTAAAATGTGTGTGTGAAAACGATTATGTCTTAAAAAAGAATAAATAGATGAGCTATAAAAAGAATAGATATACGAAAATATAAGTATTTAAAATATGCAAATTGCTGATTGCAAGACACGAGTGCAAATAAAAAGTGTCATAAAATTTCAAATTTCATGCATTGCAATACTGCCAAATAGCGGTACTTGTACAAGCATTGAAGCATTTCATAGCCATTCGCCAATGCCGTAAATGAAATACAAAACCAATCAAGAAATATCAAATTAAATTCGTTTTATGACACAATTTGCTTGAAATTTCGCATTCATAAAAATGGCCAAACAGTTGTGTGTCTGCAAATGGTGACTGAAATGAGTAATAAATGATGCAAATTAGAAATTAGCGAGCAAATTAAAACATAAAAGGAGCAATTGGAATCCAACAACTGATATTAGCGGCCACGCTCCTTCGCTGCAATCTCAGTTATTATTAATGATACTGTTATCACAAACTACATGAACATACATATGCATATGGTGTATAAAAGTGAAGTTAACATCTCTTGCTCGAAGCGTAGAACTTGTTTTTACATTAGGTATAGCTTACTAGGGATAGCTAAGCCGGAGTTGTTAATACTTGTAATTTAAAATCGTCTATAAACCTCTAGCCGCCGCTATATATCAAAAGCAGGACGAAAACTTTTCGATTTACGAATATCTGAATATCAATGTAGATTATCTCTAATTAATGAATTTAAATTCTATCCATACTCGGATTCACGAAGATTCGGTTGTTATATGCATCATACAGTATTACTTACCTGTAAATACATATTTGTCATTATGGTCTATTTCCAGAACGTTTTTATATATAATATGGATATAGCTTGTTTACGTTCTCATTGAGTTACACAGAATTTTATATTTTTGTCCACCACAGTGGTTTGCATCGCCCTAAAACAAGTAAGACAGATATAGGGTACATATGCATATTAAAGTAATCAGGTTAACGAGACTAATTGCCTGCCAGGTGTCTATTTATCCGTCCATGAAAGTGAAAACTTGAGTAAACGTTGCAAAATACCAATGAATATAACGAGTCTCTTGCAACGAGTAAGATAATCTTTCTCCACACGATTAACTTTATGCCGAATATATCGATCCACATGTGAGATAATTAAATGAAATCATGAAATTTGATCTTCTTTTTTTTCTGGAGTTACTCATTTCATTTGACACTGTATTATATACGCTACATCGGTCATTGTATGATATATCTAAATAATACATGCCGAAAACACTACAATAGTTTTAATTTTGGCCTCTCCCTAGTCTGCGTAAACTCAATACCGTATTTTATATTGAGGAAGGTATCATCATTAAATAAGTAGAGTTTAAGTCATTAATCATCATGGCTGCTGTTGTCAAATCAAATCATCGATAAATTGGGTCTCGTTTTCTGAACATATGAGAGCCCTATTCATTGATTTCCAGCCAAGCCTCAATAAAAGTATGGAGAATAATGATTGTAGCAATGGGCTGACGTTTGATTTGAATCATATGATTCAGATATTAAGCGGTATATCCTATCTAAAGTAAGTACGTGATTCGTAGTATGCGTAAATAATGCGCACAATCGGTTTGAAGTTAAGTCAATAACGAATATTTAAGTTAAATTAGGAGAATATAAATGAGTAAAATATGTGATACCATAGGTGAATCCATAAATTCAATTTGATCAGAACTGTACATTGTCAATTATTTATTATGGTTTACAACACTAAATCTTCCACTATCTTATAAGTTCGTTTTCACGCGCTAATAGCTGTAATATTTAATGAAAATATAGTTGTGCCTCCAACAACGGTCAACTCTTATAATTTTATGAGATGAGGCTGTAGATAGCTAAAGAAAGTAATAATAACTTTGCGTGAAGGTGTGTGTAGTTATTGTTGCTGTACCTGCATAAACACTTACACTATACTGCTATACAATTTAACGTTGTATTCGAATCCGAAATATATTCTTATTACCCATCAAATATATCAAATTCCTCGACAGTTGGTGCCCACGTAGCAGCATAATTGCCGTGACGTATACGCCATGTACAACGCCATTCCCAAGCGAATTGACCAGCTTAGCAAACAAGCAAAAAACCCAAGTGCAGGCTACGGAAGACAACCAATTGTGGTCACAAATTGAAATCTTTACAAGCGCACTAAAGCGTAACGGTATAATTTCCTGTAGCCACATTTATTAACTTTGACTTTGACTTGGGCTTTGAAACGGAGGAATTAGGTGATTCCGAAATTTTATATGAGAAATAGGCTCATACAATCACACACATACATACAAATATATGCAGCACTGCTAAGAATGATACAAGTCAAGGGAATTCGCAAATAAAATTGCCTGCCTTTGGGCCAACTCAAAAGCCATAAAATTGTTTCTGAGTAATTACATACGAAAGCTAGGCCACTCAAGCTATAGCGTAGCTGCTTAGTACAGAAGACGGACACTTACATACTGATTAGGCGGGACAGCATAGCGAAGGTACTAGGAAATTGTATGCTCGAATTAAGAGCATAATTGCTGCGGTGGCAGCTAAGAAGGTGATTGTGGCAGCTGAACAGGCTGAAATTGTGGTGAATGCTCAAATATACTGTAGTTTTTTCTATATTGTTGTCATTGTACAGTTACGCATTTGACAAAAAGGTTAAAATAAATGAGAACTTAAATTTATAAATTATTCATGAAAATATACAAAAACTCAATTTATTGTGAGTAATTGAACTAGAATAACCAAATTTAATAAAACAAATATTTAATAACAGTCACAAATGTAGTAACAGCTATTGCTGAATTTGGAATAAAATAAAAAATAAAATAAAATTCAAATAGGGGAAATAATAAACATGAATATAACAAATTGAGTAAAAATTAATTAAACCAAATGAAATTTGAGTGCTGAAAATAATAATATAATAAATAAAACATTATATGTAATATACCAAAATTAGTGGAAATATACTAGACATTGTGAGTAAAGTAACCTGAAAATAATATTTATACATAAATTAAATAAATAAAACTAATATATATTAGTACAAGTACAACTAAGGTTCAGCGCAATTCAAGCTATGAATTATAATCATTTCGCCCCGTGATTTCTTTATAGAATTTTGTGTAATAATTCATAGAGTATTCCCCTCGGTCAGCTGTAGAAATGCCAAAGTCGAAATTAACCAAAAGAAAATAATAAAAAGAAAGTAAATTAATTAGGTAATTCCACAAATACCAGAAACAACGAAGAAAGAAAATTGAAGAAAAAGTGATTACTATAATTATTCCCAAGTTGCAAAAGTGTGCGCAAATATTCAGTTATAGTCGGTTAGCCAATAAGCTTCCGAAAGGCAATAAATAGCCATGTTGTTCGTATAAATTGCTCACAGCCAAACAAAACGAAATCCCATTTTCGTTCGTGTTAAAAATGTGCGGCCCAGTTTGGCTGCAAACGCAACCGCAGAAGCAGCGGAGGCTCATCGTCAGCTGCCAGAAATGGACAGTGTAAAAAGTGAACAAAGAAAGAAAGAAAAAAAAAAACAAACAAAGAAAGAATGAAAATAAAATACAATAAAATGTGCCAAAAATAATAAGAGATATCCTGTGAATAGGACCCATCCACACACACATACTCACGCGAATGAGGAATAACTTCTCAGCTGGTAAATAAAAATTAAAATATAAATAAAATCCAAGTGGCAGTGTCTGTGCGCCATGACCCGGTGCAAGCAAGGCGGGCGAATAAATAATTGGTGCTAATCGCCATAAGCTGTGTGTAGTGTTAGAATGTCTGAGCCAAGCACCTGCAAAATATGAAATCATGGCAGATAATATTTTTCTTTAAGTGAATATGAATATGCCTCTTAACATACACATTTAAATAGTTTATGAAATTTCAAACGAAATGCCTTTATTTACTTCTTAAAAAAGGATAAGCTTTCATCCAAGAGGAGATAAAAAAAAGGAACATTGTTCGTGAATCGAGCCACCAACGGCGCACACATACTTAAACACAGCCAATCTGACATGTGATCAAAAAGTATAAAACGCTTTTGCCGTCATCACATAAGCAGTCGAAGGTAGGCGCAAAAGAGTGCATAAAAAGAAAAATGATTCAACCACGCACTTCATTGACTGTTGTTTGTATGTAACATGCATAGTAGTTGAGGTGTCTCGCTAAATGTCGACGCCGTTGCATGGTATGAGGCACACACTTATTCATGTGGTTTTGGCCTTGCTTTTGGCAGCGAACGGAGTATTCTTTTGTATTTTAGAGATGCTTCATTGTTGACTATATTCAGCATGTTGAATACGTAGTCTTTATTCAGAATCTACCATATACTCTAAAAACTAACACGTTTAGATGCGTTAGCATGATTAATTTTAATTTCCTTTTTCATATAATTTAAGCTTTTCCTTCCAGTATTCAATAATTTGGTTGTGCTACCGTCCTCTTTTTAGCTCTCAGTAACCCTCTCTCATTACTCTCTTTTCCCAATATCGAAGGCTACAGACTTAAGTAGCTTATTTTCTATCAGCTATCTTGAGCTAAGCTCAACTTGAATCCTTAGCCACAGTATGCAGAAACTGAAAGAAACAATGTTGCTTCAGAAGTCTCCCAGAAAGCAAAAGTCAGGTAAAATAGCGGTTGGAGTTTTTCATTCAGCCATTCTTGTTTTACCTGACTCTTAACTCTACAGAAACAAGTGAGAGATAATGTCGGATCAATTATGTTGATGTTGAGGTCCCAATTCGCACGGAAGTCTGTAACTGATCGTTTCCTTCATCCCAACGTGATCAATTTTTCTCCAGATTGTACAGTCCGAAGACAACATTTACGATAACCGTTACCTTACGAAGCGCATTACTTAATATTCTGTTGGGCCAAACCTAACTTTCAAATCGTTTTATAAAAATAGATGTAAAGTGATCATACAAGAGTTTTTTTTTACAGTTTTTACCATAGATTCTGTTTTGTCAATTAAGTTTTTTTTTTTGGCTTTTGCTTTTGCTGAATCAGAAAAAAAACTAAAACTGCTTTGTAAATGTTTTTAGGTACTCAAAAACAAGCTTAGCGGTGGTCCATTGGTTTTAGTATGTATGAATTGTTTATGAAATATGTTTACATAATAACTCCTTTCATTGAAATTCGATACTGAAAACCCCATTTACATGTGGCTTGTGTGTATTAGTGCGTTAATTAAACCCGCAACCGTAATATGAATAATAAATAGTTCTCGTTTACCTAATATCGACTTTGTAGAAAACTCGTACGCTCATAAGCCGCGTCATACTTTACAACACTACAAAATATTCATAATAAAGAAAAGATTTATAAACATACAAGTATACATACGTAAGCACCTATACGTTATGTGTGTGTAAGTGTATTAATATGCATATGTGGCTGTTATTTTATGCTGGCGCCGTTGTAGACAGCCGAATTTTTATATTTTTGGCTGGGATAATGCTCTGAGTAAACAAATTTGTTGGAAGTGGCCGTTGTTGTATAATAAATAAGTTAACGGCAATGAAGGCAGAATTCGACGGCCTTACGCAGTTTTGGTAGAGCAAAATTTTGCAGAGGTCTTAGAAATATTTGAAGGGCGTATAATTTGCTATATATATTCAAATACTACTACTATATATGTATGTATATATATATACAAGTATGCCCGAAACCACGGGTGTTTTTTTAGACGTGTGGATTTCGATGAGGCAATACTTTTTTCGGAGTTTTTTATTTTTTACAGCTGTTATTTGATTTATACACAGTTTGGTTTGCATTTCATGATGAACAGACTTACATCGCACACTGTGTCCAATATTCTGTTGAGATAATCGCTCAAAATCGGTAATTCGAGCAAGAGTGGATAATGCGCATCCTAGGAGAAGCCGTACAGTGCGTACTGCAGACGCTATTGCTTCTGTGGAGCAGAGTAACGAAGAAAACTCGAATAACTCCATCCGCCATCGCATGCAGAGAAAATCATTGCCGGCATAATGTTACAGTCAATGAGGAGCGCAATAAAGTAATGATTACTGACTTCTGGATGGCGCTGGAGCTGAACTAATAAAAGTTCACGTTTTGGTTCAGTTATGGAAAATCCACCATTACGGCAAATGATAAGATACACATTACTGTATTATAGTCAGGCTCACAACCACATGCTTTGATCTCCTAAGTGATACAAAATTATACACACTAATATTGCTCTTTAGAGGTTTTATTTGTATTGTTGGCGTCAAAATATTATTTCGAGAGTGATATCAATTTGCGAAAAACTCAGTTACTGAGATATAAAAATACCAAATAGCTTTTGGAAAATTTAATATTTTTTTAAATTAATTTCCTAACTGCTCGAAGGCTGGTTACTACAAAAACAATTCAGCTTGATAAAATTCATCGGCGTTCACATTTATACATACATCGTGTCTTGCATCAATTTAAATCCAAATTAACTTTAAGGCACGTGCTATTGTATAAATATATATGAGAAATTATATTTTTAATTTATTGCCTTCCCTCTTATGTTTCTTTATGGTTTTTGATTTCAAATGACTTTGAGAAGAAAGTTTTCACCGAAATTCGCTGTACGTGGTGACTTTCTTCGAGAGAAACGTGCGCCACCTGCAGTGCAACTACAGTTACACACACACACAAACAGCTATGTGAGAATGCACTTAGGTTTATATGTATGTTTGCATGTGAGCACTTAACTACAAATCGTGCCGGAGCAACCAGCAATTCTTATCTACTTAAGGTTTAGCTTCTTGCCACACAGTAATTGTGACATAAGTGAAAAAGTTTCCCGCTGCGTGTGCATATTTCGTTCTCTATCCGCTAAGTGTGCATGTGTAAGGTCAATATACACGTGGTTGTTATAAGTAATGTTTAAACTTGTAACGGATGGATCTACCTAATGGTTAATATGTGGGGGCATATTCTCACATTTTCCAGAGAGGAGGATAAATTCATAGTTTTTTAAGTTTATTAGGTTTTTAGTTATTTTAACTCGAATCAATAATTCTCTCTCTCTAACTGAGACCATTTTATCTCCTAATTTTGCATTACTTTTTTCATAATAAATCATCGCATCCAGATACCTTATTTTATGGACTCGTTCTTTTGCATCACTGCAACTGCGTTTGGTTTCGGCTCAAGGTGAAAAGCTTAGGAGGGTGGTGAGCGTGTGAAAGAGGACTCCCTCGGTAGTTTGTTGGCCAACATGTATAAAATTGAAAAGTTTGTTTGCGGTTTAATTGAGTAGCTTGGGCGGATGAGTGCAATATTCGAGATAATAATTTAACAGTTATCTCATTTGGTACATACTTTTGGTTATGGTATTTTCAAATGCTTGTTAATGGAAATTTTAAGTTTCGATTAAATTTCTAAACATATGTACATATTTGAAAAGTTTAAAAATAACTTTGTCATGCAACCATTTAAACTAATATGAGTGATTGTGCAATATTTTCAAATTATTAGATTGAGATTGAAACATATTAGTTATATTAAAATTTGGATGATTGTACAATTATAATAGTAGTTTTCCACGTGATATGTAACACCCAAGAGCAGACATCGGAGACCTTATAAAATATATGCACAAATGATCAGCATGATGAGCTGAGTTGATTTAGCCATGTTCGTCTGTTTCTGTTTGTCTGTCTGCATGTATATACGCGAACTAGTCTCTCAGTTTTTGAGATATCGATCTCAAATTTTACACACTTCCCATACAAACTAAATTATTGGAAAACTTTTTTATTTGACAAGGTATCGTCACGAAATTTGGCATGAATTAATATCCAAGGCAATGTTAAAATATCCAAACATATTGTTTCTTTTATACATACATCAAGTATTGAAAATTCCATTTTTTACACGAATTTCGCTTACTTGTTTCTTGACAATTTGAACTTGCCCACAAAAAGAATTAAAATTATTTATATTTTTAAAATTTCTGGAAAACTTGAGAGTCGTTTATTTGACTTAAGAGAAGTGTAAAAGAAGTTACGAACTCTGTCGACAAAATAAAACAAATTTTTTATATACTTTTAAATAATTACCTATTTAAATAGATGGATGTGACTTTTAAAACATTTAATTTAAAAAAATCCATTTTTGTCCATTTTGTTTTTCTTTAGATAATTTAATTTAATGACGATATTAAATTTTTTTTCTGAACTCCATGAACGATTTCTTCAAGTTTCACGTCAATGTACAAGCCTTTGTTTACACATATACTTGTACATAAATAATGATTGCTTTTAACACTGCCCACTTAGCAGCTTCACCGAGCACATAATCTCAGTGGGTTAGGCACCGAATTAATACGTAATTTTTCGATAAAAAAGCCACAGTTCGACCACAACAAATACTCTGGTGTTTAGTGCTTCATTCGTTTTTATTCGTTACGGCTATTATATGTCGCATGTCGTATAAAGTGGACTTTTCGAAAATTTCGCCAACAGTTAACTGCCTCATGGTAGAGCTTTCACTTTTCATGGCTGCCATTGTTAACATCGTTTTGTGTCTTTCATACTATGTTACCAATTCCGCCGCTGGCTTCAATGAACATTCTGTTTTTTGTTCGTGCTGCTGTGTTATGACTTTTGTTGGCCTGAATGGCGCACTAAAGATAAAAAACTCAAAATTTCCTTAGGTAATTCATAATCATAGAAGGAGTGAATATGCCATGTAAAATACACAGTGTTCATTGAGAGCAATTTATGCATCAAAATTGTGCGAGTTTTTGCATGAAAAGCAATCTGTTATAACGCGAACTTTTTAACTAAAGAATGTAGAAAACATTCATTCATAAACTAGTCTCAACTACTGTATCTCAGAGAATTTAAAATTTGCCTCCATTGATAATTATACGCAAAATATACTGTATTAGTTCAGTATCTAACCATTTTGAAGAAATATGCAAAGTATTATGTGCCGTAATAATTAAGTCAAATTCAATGACAGTTGCTGAAAACCAGTGATCATAATTATCATTTCGATTTTGTACTAACTTTTGACAAACTCCTTGACATCACTAGGTAGGGTCAAACTGATGCCTTTTAA